CGTGATGGCGGAGGTACGTGTGCGCTCTGTCCCAGAGCGAGATCGAGTCGTGCGTGGCATGCAGGACAGTAAAAGTCTGGATGAGATCAGTGGGGCGTGTGGGGGCGGGGCACGTGGAGGCGGAGCTAGAGGTGGCCAACCGGAAGGACGCAGAGCCACCATATCCAGCGCCCTAGAATTGGAGGGAACCGTCAGCCATGATGGAGATCTTACGCACTTCATCGCCAAAAATCTTGAACAGAAGATTAAAATGAGCTCGCGGCCGAGTCTGGATACTGATTGTGAGTATATGAGGGTGTCAAAAAACAGTTTTGATCTGTTACAATGCCTTTGTCGTCAGTATCAGTAATATTTAAACTTTGTATGACCACTGCAGCAGACTGTTCTGGGCCTGTGGTACGTGGTCGTGGCTCTTTGCGTCGTCCGGCTGATATTCCGCCCATTGACCCATCAGTGCTGGAAGACCTGCATAAACACACACAGGATGTGGCTCAGAGTGTAGAATTGATGCTGCGAAGCCTCAGTGGAACTATACAGAATGTGAGTATTACTCTGTATCAAATACAGCCACCCAAGAAAGTACTTGGACAATTAAGCCACAAAATATAAAAAAAGTGCAATCTGTGAACAAAAGATGCTATTTCTTTTTTCGGAACTAACTTAGCCATTTTTTAGCCTGTTTTTACCCAACTGCTCTCAAGGTGATTTTCATTGGTTGTATGAAGTCAGTTCCACTCAACTACACACTTGCCCTTTTTCCACTGACGTGATTGCAGTGCTGGTTCCTGGCCCATTCGTGAAATGCTACACAGATTTCTACCACAGAAATGGTTCAGCACCAGTCTTAAATACTTGCTGGAATTTTTTATTTTATTATGCTTATGCTCATCAAGGCTGCATTTTTTTCAAACACAGTAAAAACAGTAATAGTGTGAAAATTAATAGAATTTAAAATATCTGTTTGCTATTTTTATATATTTTAAAATGTAATTTTAAATGCTGCTCAAGAAAAAAATTCTTATTATCATCCACACTGAAAACAGTTGTGTATGTATGTATGTATATATATTTCATTTGAACCGAGTTATCTGTAGTTATAGGAATCTGATCACAATGTAGGTCACATTTTTTGCAGAAAAACAGGAAATCCTCAAACTTTCAAGCTTTTTCCGTGTCCAAATACTTTTTCGGGTCACTTTTTATGTAGCTGACCCTCATTACAACCAACATATGCATTTATACAAACCTATGAAGTGCACATACTGTTATGAATGAAAATCTCTTGTCTCTTCAGATGACTGCATTAAGTGTGGGTTATATCCAGACATATAGAGATTCTGTGGACAGTTTGGGAGAGTCAGTGGACATGAGTATAAAGGTGAGAGTGATTTATCTATTCAGTGAAGTTTTCAATTTTATTTTATTTAGTTTTAATCTGTGTGTGCTTGTTTATTTGTTTCCAGGGAATGTACACACTCATGGCACGGTGTGAGGAGCTGGATCGCTCCATGCAACCTATACATACTCTAGCTGCTCAGATCAGAGACATCAAACGAACCCTTGATGCCCTGGAAACCATCTGCAAGTAACTATGGCAACAAACCACACCCCCTAACCGAGTGAGGACCCCGCCCTCTGCAGTCATTCTGCCACATACTGTGCAATGGAACCATTTAGCTAATTTTAATGTTTTCTAGCAAGGCTCTGCAAGTGCTCGCCCCCTTAGAGACAGCTTGGTTCTTGCCCTTCCCCTCGGAGACCACATCTGTAAGCACCTTTTTTTGTTGTGGCTCCTCCCTGCTAGAAAGATCGCCGGCAAAACAGCATTGACTCCTCCTTGTGATTCATGCCGTCCAACATCCTCCACATGACCACAGGAAGGACCCTGTGTCATTGGTGGCTTTTGGGCAACTGATTGGTGTTACCATTGCCCCTGTTTATGAAGTGAGTGAACGCACGTATCGGTGAGTGTTTTCACAGATTGCGTCTATTTGTAATGGCCTCAAATTTAAGACATAGAGTAGAAGTTTAACACCAATATTGGCCAGTATGGAAGCCATGCTCTGTGTGAATTTGTTCCACTTGGATGTCTGTGTTTCTGCAGGATGGATGCTATGCATCCCAGGTCAGTTCCAAAATATTTTCTGATATCATTTCCTTACCCTCATGCTGTTTTAAACCTGTATGACTTTCTTTCTTCCATGAACACAAAAGAAGAGATTTTGAAGAATGTGCTGATTGCTCTTTTCCATGCAGTTACAATGAATGGTTATTGGAGAGTTAAAGCTTTAAAACAGATGCAAAATACCATAACACGTGTATAATGACTTACATTTTGGTCTGTTTCTCACACAAAGCTATTGTACGACCTGGGAAGAGTTGTGCACACATCACATGGACTACTTTTATGGTGCTTTCATGAAAGCTTGAGTCTCCATTTAATAATTGCATGGAAAGGATGTTCTTCAAAATATCTTCTTCTAAGAAAGTCATACAGGTTTGGAGTGACATGAGGATAATTAAATGATGCAAACATTTTTAATTTGTTGGATGAATTATGCCTAATACAAGCACCGTATAGGCTCGTCTATGAATTTTAGGCTCTTGATTTCCATATTGAGAGTCATGACAGATGTCCCCTTAATTGATTTATTGTCTGCAAGTGTTTACCAATAGAAACAACCCCAAAAATCAGAGGAAGGCGAGGAGAGATCGGAGGTGGGTGTGAAAAAAACAACAGGATGGATGAAAGTTTATTTTTGAAAATGATCTTTACATTTCTCCGTTTGGCCCTGTTTAAGCCGTCTCTCTATCTCTTTATTGCTGTCTTGCTAACTATAACCCTGATTTGTCCAACAATCTGTCATTAATGTGTATTTTAAATTATTATATAAACCAAAATAAATTTGCTAGAATGATCTACTTGATTTTTCTCTGCCTCTTTGTTCTACATTTTTAGGGTTAAAATAGTTTGTTGCTCTTTGACATACATTTGTGTTCTTTTGCGAGTTTTCTCCTTTTGCAGAGTTTTCCAAGTTACAGCTGGATCCTCTGCACTATGATTCAGGGCTAAATTATCGTGTGTGTGTGTGTGTGTGTGTGTGTGTGTGTGTGTGTGTGTGTGTGTGTGTGTGTGTGAGAGAGAGAGAGAGAGAGAGAGAGAGAGAGAGAGAGAGAGAGAGAGAGAGAGAGAGAGAGAGAGAGAGAGAGAGAGAGAGAGAGAGAGAGAGAGAGAGAGAGAGAGAGAGAGAGAGAGAGAGAGAGAGAGAGAGAGAGAGAGAGAGAGAGAGAGAGAGAGAGAGAGAGAGAGAGATTGTTACACTGGTGGATAAAAAGGTTGTGTTTGTCAGCCCTTATCACTGATGAATTCACAGATACGTAAACATGTAGATACGCACGTGTTTATTATTGAGTTGGACATTGTAGTTTTTCTTATCATCCTCCTCTAGTTAATATTTGTTTATTTAATAAATTACCAGATTTCCCTTGTAGTCATTCATATCTGTCAGTAAATGTTTAAAAAGGCTTTACGTTTTCATGACGGAGAACAGTGTTGTTCTGTACAGGCTGCTCAGATTAAGTGTAAACCTGACTGGTTTCTGTTTTTTTCAATGTCAAAGATAAAATGGAGACTAAACATTTGATTAGATTTCAGTTTAGGCAGATAGAGGCCAGTTACACTCTGACCCGTCTCTGCATTCCGGACATCTCGTGATTGTGATATCGCTTTCCTGTTACACAGGTTTGACGTTGTAGCATGAGCAAATAAATTCACTTTTTTTGCCCACGTCTGAACTGTTTGTGCTACAAGTGTTAATATCTACTGCACTAACGTTCAAGAGTTGGGGGTCAGCAAGGGTTTTTTTTGTTTTTGAAAGAATACTCTTATGCTCATGCTCACCAAGCAACTGATGCATTTATTTGATTAAAAAATAAACAAACAGTAAACCAGTAAAATTGTGAAATATTACTACAATTTAATATATCTTTTTTCTATTTGAATATATTTTAAAATGTAATTTATTCCTGTGATGGCAAAGCTGAATTTTCAGCATCATTACTCCAGTCTTCAGTGTCACATGACCCTTCAGAAATCATTCTAATATGCTGATTTAGAGGTCAAGAAATATTTCTTATTACTATAAATGTTGAAAATAGTTAAGTTAATATTTTTGTGGAAACTGACATTTTTCAGGATTCTTTGATGAATAGAAGTAAAGAGAACAGCATTTTTATTTGTAATAGAAAATGTTTTTTTTAACGATGTAAATGTCTTTTGATCAGTTTAATGCATCTTTTCTGAATATAAGTATCACTTTTTTTACACCAAACTTTTGAATGGTAGTATATGATATAAAGTAAATTGTATTCATGATGGAAACAGACGGTATAAAGAAGACATAAGGTATTGACTTTAGTTTCAAGTCTTTTGGATTAAAAGCAGAAACAAAAGAATATCATACTTTATCTGTATAAAAATTTATTCGGCACTTAGCTAGTCTGTTTGGACTATTAGTTTTATACAGTACATTATTGACCTTAGCTAGTTTTAAAAACCATTCAGATTTCTTTTGTATTTAGATTAAAAAACTGTATCTCAGTTATTTTGTTCATTTTCAAGTGCAGGTGATTCAGAACAGATCTGTTCATTCAGTCATATTCAGATTTAAATCCATCTCTGAGATTGTCTTTCACAGAAGCTCTTCTCTCAACAAAGATATCCCTTTGGGTTTTTATGATAAAATCATTTTTTGCAATGAGCAATCAAAGTCAAGGCTTGTCCCATCACACTCCAGCTCCCAAAACCTCAAACATATTGAAGCTGAAGAGAACCAGCGAGGAGAGAAGGATTACGGGAGTTTTAAGTGCAGAACTTCCACTGTCCACCGGCTGCTTGGTTGGCACTACTGTCACTGGAACCACTGGAAGCACTGTACTCTGACTCTGGCTCATCTCGATCACTGTCTTTATTGTTGGCGATGTTATTTTCCCTCTGTTTTCTAGCACCGTGCCTGATTCTTGATCTGCTGCTGCACCCTCCAAGGCTTCGAACCACTGGCAGCGGAAGTTCTTCTTCCAGAGGTCCACGCAAGCAGTGGGAAGCTCTCCAGTGGCTCGGACGCCTTCTGCCCCGTTTGGCGGACGCCTTCTGCCCCGTTTGGGAGCAGCATAAAGTGGGGCGATGGAAGATGCAGGTATGTGGGGTCCTCAGGTTTCTTCCGCACGCAGCGTCCACGGCCCTGACACAGTAAGACTCCACAGAGACGTGCTGCAGTGGTCACATTGACAGCGTAAGGGCCGAGAACCTGACGGACGTACAAGCCAAACTCTGAGCAGGATTTCTGTAGGAGGCATTTATCCAGATATAAAATAAATATCATCAATCGTACAGCAATCTGTTATGGCTAATGAAAAGAATTAAGATAGGATATACACTTTTTTTTTTCTTTTTTTTTACCAGTTTGTAATGTTTTTGAAATAAGTCTCTAATGCTCACCAAGGCTGCTTGATCAAAAATACAGTAACTACAGTAATATTGTGAAATATTGTTACTGTTTTTTTAATAGCAATCTGTTTGAAAATGTAATTTATTTCTGTGATGCACAGCTGAATTTTCAGCATCATTACTCCAGTCTTCAGTGTCACATGATCCTTCATAAATCATTCTAATATGCTGATTTGTTGCTCAATGTGATTGATGTTGAAAAGAGTTGTGCTGCTTAATATTTTTGTGGGAAAAATGATTATTTTCTTTAAGAATTCTTTGATAAGTTGTGAAAGAGAAATCTTTTGTAACATTATAAAAATCTTTACTTTTAATCAATTTAATGCATCCTTGCTGAATAAAAGGATTAATTTCTTACTGACCCCAAACTTTTGAACGGCAGTGTAAATGGACAAATGATTAAATGATTACCTGTGTTTTAACTGCTAAGGATTTTTCCCATATAACGACTCCAGATGCCCCCATAGCAGCACTCTCTCCAATTGTATTGACCAGGTCAGTCTGATACATGTACAAAACAGAGTAACAACAAAGTTCATAGTCAGTATACTTGACAGCCATCTTGGTCATACAATTACAATTACAACTTGTATCTACTTGGGGCAAGACTGAAATCTCCAAAAGTGTTTAATGTTTAAATAACATTTCAAATCAGGAATACACTCAGACAACTATAGTATCATAAATTGTGCTTCTTTAGGCCAAATTGAGGCAAAAAAAATGTTGAGGGCTGATTCACCTAATGTAACATACTGTACAACATACTTTTAATTATAATGTGGGACTTTTGATTGTTATAATTTCTCCCACCCATTTTTACGTCTCCTCCCTATGGAAGCTGTTTCTGTCGCAGAGTAAGAATATGAGGTAAATGCAACTTTATATCTCAAAATTACAACTTGAGATCTCACAGCTGACTTTATATATCATTTATGCTCATTTATATCTCACACTTGTGACTTCATATCCTGTACTTGTGACTTTATATTTTGTTTACACTTGTTACTTTCACGTAAATATATCTTGTTGTTATCTATGAATTTTGACTATTTTGGCTTGGCTTGTAGTTACAACTTATACAGAATGTAGGCCTACAAATGTACATATATATATATATATATATATATGTACATATATGTAAATACATCACAGTTCTTTTAATTGCACTTAAATATATCACAGTGTCAAGTTATTTCTCAGTTTTATTATCTCACAAAATGTAAAACTTTTTTCTGTATATATATACATATACACTCACCGGCCACTTTATTAGGTACACCTGTCCAACTGCTCGTTAACACTTAATTTCTAAGCAGCCAATCACATGGCGGCAACTCAGTGCATTTAGGCATGTAGACATGGTCAAGACAATCTCCTGCAGTTCAAACCGAGCATCAGTATGGGGAAGAAAGGTGATTTGAGTGACTTTGAACGTGGCATGATTGTTGGTGCCAGAAGGGCTGGTCTGAGTATTTCAGAAACTGCTAATCTACTGGGATTTTCACGCACAACCATCTCTAGGGTTTACAGAGAATGGTCCGAAAAAGAAAAAACATCCAGTGAGCGGCAGTTCTGTGGGCGGAAATGCCTTGTTGATGCCAGAGGTCAGAGGAGAATGGCCAGACTGGTTCGAGCTGATAGAAGGGCAACAGTGACTGAAATAACCACTCGTTACAACCGAGGTATGCAGCAAAGCATTTGTGAAGCCACAACACGCACAACCTTGAGGCGGATGGGCTACAACAGCAGAAGACTCCACCGGGTACCACTCATCTCCACTACAAATAGGAAAAAGAGGCTACAATTTGCAAGAGCTCACCAAAATTGAACAGTTGAAGACTGGAAAAATGTTGCCTGGTCTGATGAGTCTCGATTTCTGTTGAGACATTCAGATGTTAGAGTCAGAATTTGGCGTAAACAGAATGAGAACATGGAACCATCATGCCTTGTTACCACTGTGCAGGCTGGTGGTGGTGGTGTAATGGTGTGGGGGATGTTTTCCTGGCACACTTTAGGCCCCTTAGTGCCAATTGGGCATCGTTTAAATGCCACGGCCTACCTGAGCATTGTTTCTGACCATGTCCATCCCTTTATGGCCACCATGTACCCATCCTCTGATGGCTACTTCCACCATGTCACAAAGCTCTAATCATTTCAAATTGGTTTCTTGAACATGACAATGAGTTCACTGTACTAAAATGGCCTCCACAGTCACCAGATCTCAACCCAATAGAGCATCTTTGGGATGTGGTGGAACGGGAGATTCGCATCATGGATGTGCAGCCGACAAATCTGCGGCAACTGTGTGATGCCTTCATGTCAATATGGACCAAACTCCCTGAGGAATGCTTCCAGCACCTTGTTGAATCTATGCCACGAAGAATTGAGGCAGTTCTGAAGGCAAAAGGGGGTCCAACCCGTTACTAGCATGGGGTACCTAATAAAGTGGCCGGTGAGTGTATATATATATATATATATATACATACACAGACACACACACTATTAACTATTTATTAAAATATGGCAAACCTGTTTATTACCTCTGAGAGAAAGGCGTTAGAGGATGTGTACACAATCTTGATCATCGGAAACACAGGAAGATCAGAGGTAGTCCCTGCAAGAGCCGCCACTCTTAAAGCCTCTCTGATCTGATTGGTTGCATAAAGCCACGCCCCTTTGGTTCCCTCTGGGAGCTTCTCCAGAGAGAGGACTGGATAAAGGGCACCGCTACGCTTCCACAGCCACATCAGCTCATCATTAAGGGCCATTTCCGCCGCAGGGCACCGTCCAGTATAATTGGCTAATGCTATCTGGGTGGAGTCAAAGTTATAGCAGTTAGGATACGGGGCCATGCCCCATAGTCTCTGTGGGCGGAGTCTCTTCACCTCCCGCAGCGTTTCCATCATTATGGACTGTGCTGCTGCTTCAAAGTCAACCTGACAGGAAATGACATCATATAATCGATTAATACAACAGAATTCAGAATGGTAGTCTTTGTAATATCATTATATGTTGTGATTGTCATCACCTGAGACCATTTTTCCACTTCCTCTGCGCTCCAGTCTGGAAAAAATCCCCGGAGAAGTGCCCTCGAATCCACAAGATACTTTGCTTTGTTTCCCTTGTTCCTGTTCCACTGAGGTGCCCACTCCTGCCAGCGCAGCACCCCCAGCCCAGGCGCTCCTGTCTGGGGTAACGAAGCTGTCAGGTCGCCCTCAACCCTCTGGAGGTGAAGGTCAAGGCTGCTGTGTTGTGGTAGGCCGCCGTTGACAGGACGATCCTGCACAGTGAAATACGGGTAAAGTCCTAGCGTGTCCTCATAAAATATTGCAACACGGCCTTCCCACTCCATCCCAAATGCCGCTGGGTTCGGCCGACCCAAACAGTCTTTATCTGGAACCCCCCACAGCACCAGGAAAGGCTGGCCGGCGAGCAGAGGGGCCCGGGCAGGACCGCAGACACATGCAGGAGTGAAGAGACAGAGGCGGAGGAATAGATGAGAAAGGGAGAGGAGGTTGAACGTGTGTTTTCTTCCAGCCATGGAGCTGAGCAAGAGGTTTCAGGGCCCCTCACCCAAAAACTCACTCAAAAGCTGCCTTGGAGAGGGATAATGTCTGGAGAGAAAGACAGAGGGTTGGAGAAATCTTTTTGGTGAGGTGCTTATTGCCTTATTTTATATAGATAGACATTTCTTTTGTGAGGATTTGTTATGTGTTTGTGTCCTTAACGAAAACAATGAATTCAGCTCAACATTTTTTATTTGATCTGCATTCTCATGACATAAGGGCATGTTGATCATGGGGAATTGTCACAAAAGGTCAACACCAGTTGTGTGTGTGTGTGTGTGTGTGTGTGTGTGTGTGTGTGTGTGTGTGTGTGTAATAATCCCTATATGTATTATTTATTATTCCTGTGGAAATGTTTAACCGCTTTTGTGCGTATACAGACTGTAATAATAATATAATAATAATAATAATAATAAAACTCACAGAAAAATTAGCTTGTGTAAAAGTGTGACCACTACTCCCTATTTACCAACTGAAAAGATAGAGCTGCGACGCTACGTCAGAGGAAACAAAGGGAGGCGCTTTAGGATAATTAATCGCTAACAGGATTAATTAGTGCTGCCCACATTCAACGCTAATCACTCTTTAAAGTGTACTAATACGAGTCTGCAGATAATAAAATTCTCAACAGAGGGCGCCAGAGCGCAAAGCATTGTCTCACATAGCCTACTAGGGCTTCTCATAACTGGCGCGACATATTTATCGAGGTACTTTGAAAACATACTTATTTTTTTACTTCAGTAGCCTACTTGGTAGTTATAATTTTATTTATAGTAGATTTTTTTTTTTTTTTTTTGGCATAGGCTACTCTTCTAGTCGTGTAGTCCTTGCTACCCTACTGCAAAACCATTATACTAGCCTAAAATGCCTCAGCTAGTCGCCCGTCCTGCACAGGCTCGTTTGAGAGGCGTTTTGGGCTGGTCAGACTGAGACCAGCTTTCTGACCAGCTAAACCAGCTGAGCTCTAGCTTAGCCAGTCTGGGAAAACCTGCAAACCATCGTTTTCAGCATGGTAATTATTTACTTTACGAGAGAAAGAGAGAGACAGAGACAGATTTATCGGTGCTGCTAAACACCCTTTATAGCCTACTACAAAATACCACAGTTGAGTTATTGGGTTAAAAGAAGTAACAATAACTATTATGTATATTATGTATTTTGGGGAGAGGAATTTGTGGCTTTCCATGCTAAATGTAACATGTAACGTTAACGTTACCCGTTTTACCCGTTCGAGTTGTGATTTTGACCACACACCCATGCCAGATAATAGCCGTGACACACACAGAGGAGAGCCAGTTATATGTGTAATTAACTGAATGCAAAGACATCTTTCTGAGTCAAATTACTGTCTTTCTTTGAATAGGCTATCTGAAATTGAAATTGAAACTGAAGGACCTGAAATCTTCGCTCACACACGTTTAGAAGTTGTGTTGTTTCTCATCCAGTTAAACTTGGCAACATTTTGTTATTGGGTGTGATAGTTTTAGGCCAGTTCCTGCTTTCGAGTAAGCGTTAAGGAGTTGACTAAGCTTTTGTGCTACCAATTTCCATCTGATTGATCTAACATTTTGAGCAAAACTTCTTTCCTTTAAAAAAAAAACTAAATAAAATAAAAAATTCTGTTTGTTTTTTAAACTTATACTTGGTTTGGTTTCCCTCATCAGTTTCTTGAGATGGGATTGTGTTACTCACCTCTGCATTGATAGATCAGGTGTGTGTGCCTGGAGCTCCAGGTCAAAGAATCCAGAAGCAAAGGTCAAGATGAAGAGCACTCCTCTGGATGGGTAATAATAAGAATTTAAGAATAGAATATATAAGAATAGTAATAATTCTGTGCAGGTTTGAGTGGTCGGGTGGCTCAGAACAGGATGCCACAGAAGGGAGAAACTTCAGCCCAACCATGAGGGATGAGAAGACAGGCTGTCCTGACAAAAGGATGGATGAAGTGGCAGAAGTAGGAAATAGAAAGAAAATCAGGCTACCTCACCTTCACCAGGGTAATCTGTTTGTAAGCAGGGTCACCACGGACCATGACAATCACATGATCAGACTCACCATAATCCCTTAATCCATCACTCCCTCCAAACAGCAAACACACCTAGAGTCAAACACACACACACACACACACACACAGCTACTCAAAAAAGTAAATACTAAGTAAAGACTGTGTTTCTTCCTGTTTTCTTTTTATTCTACATCATACATGTCATGAAACTGAACATTAAGGTTTCATGGATGACCCTCATATCAGACTTTCATATCTCTACTTTTTTTTTTATCTCTGATTTTTGCCTTTCTTCTGTTTATTTTTTTCTCATTTCACTGTCAGTTTTCCAAAGTCTAATCCCATTTCCTGAAGAGGATCACTAGCAAGATTGTTCACAATTATATCATCCGAACATAATCTGGCGTAATCCTGAAGTCTCTATTGTATTACTTCAGATATGAGAAGAGAAGGATTTGGTTTTTGTGCCTGCTGTCATTCTAGGTTGATGGTTTGGTCTTTCTTATGTCTAGACTGAAATGTGACATTTTTGGTGTCTAAACACTGAGCATTTTTGAAGAGTTAATGAGAGGTAGTTTTATCTTGACAGGGTTGAAAGTGTTCAGAACAGAACAGGGGAAGTGATAAATATATACCCTACCATCAAACATTTGGTGACAGTAAGTTTTTCTTTTTTTTTTTAAATACTTTTATTTAGCAACGATGCATTAAATTGTTCAAAATGGCCAATACAGACATTTACTATGTTGCAAAATATTTCTATTTCTATTTTTCTTGTTCTGCTTTCAACATTGATAAGAATATGAAATATTTCTTGAGCAGCAAATCAGCATATTAGAGTGATTTTTGAAGGATCAGGTGACACTGAAGACTGGAGTAATGATGCTCCCCCCCCCACACACACACACACATTTGTATAAGTAGTATTTATTGCACTGAATTTAATTTATTCTGATTAACAAAAATGCATAGTGTCCAGACAAGATGATTTATATTACTTTGTTAAAATAATATTTAAAACAACAGTTAGAAAACAGATTTTATTTTCATTTTCTTTGTGGATTTTTTTGTGGGCAAATGATCTTGTAGGATTCACTAATTTTTTTATTTGATGTAGGTTTTGTCTATTCTCTGTTTAATCATCTGAAACAGTCCACGAATTTCAGATTCACTTGTGTTTGTTATCTAAACTCAATGCTATTTTGTTATCAGTTGTATGTTCATGTTATGTGTGTGTGGATTTGTTACCTGGTCAAGGTTTTGTGTGTTTGCTGTGCATATGTTTAGTTGAGATTATCTGTTTGAGGTATCTAAGGTGATGCCTGCTCTCCAGGTCCCGTCACCATGGTAACGGCTCAGATGAGTCCGGCCCAGACAGCGGATGGGGGTTAAGGATGTGTGTGTGTGTGCGCGTGCTTGTGCGCGTGTGTGCTGTTGATGGTTTATACACGGTAGCAGGTTTGACAGTGATTGCGTGTTGTGTTGGTTTTGTTAAGATTGACCTTATGTCGTCATGGTTGATGCGCAGTTAAATTGAACACTGGTGATATGAAAAGTGATTTAGTGAAGAAGACAGATAATCAGAACACAGACTCCCCTCAAGTTAACATCTAACTCACTTGTTATTTCTTTCTGTCTCTGTTAATGCAGATGGAAACAGGTGTGGAGGCTTAGACTTGACCTCGGTCTCCCCGCTCAGTGTCAGTGTAAACACCTCTTTACTCCAATTCATTCTCTAAGTCCTGCTTTTTATACAATCACGAATCACAGCTCATCGTGTTTTTGCTGTTTTCTTGCTAGGCAGTTAGAATTAAACCATGTAAACATTTTTTTAAATGTATTTTACAATAATTTATTTTATATGTGAGCATGTATATGACTTCTGTGTAGATAGAAAAATTGTCGATCATCTTCAAAACAACATGCATAACACCTTTCTTAGTAATAGCCAGGTATTCTGATGGTGTGGTTGAAGCTTTTTGTTTTCCGTGAAATGTTTTTCATGTGGATGTTTGTGTCATACCAGGAAAATGTGTGAGCGGTGTGACTTTAAATATTGTATTTGATCAAATGTGCTTATATATACTAGAAATGTGTCCTGAATGTGATCAATAGAGCTTCTATGATATATATATTTATTCTCAACTACCTTTTTTTTTTTTTTTTTTTTTTTTTTTTTTTTTTGCTTTAACTGCTTTCAAAGAAGCTCTATTGATCACATTCAGGACACATTTCTAGTATTTATAAGCAAATTTTTTTGTGAATGGTATCTAGGTGATGAATTCACCACTCTTGAAACATTTTTCTTTTTTGAAACGGGCTCATGTTCTTCTCTATTTGATTGAAATGTCACCTGGATCACCAGGTCCATCATCTTCATTAGCAGATGGACCGTGTGTGTTTGTGTGTGTGTGTGTGAGAGAGAGAGAGAGAGAGAGAACAAGTTTGACTGTACTTGAGGGTCAATTTTGTTTCAACTTGTGAGGACATTTGAAGTGCTCCTCACTGTTTGAAAGGCTCATAGTTCATGTTTTACTTTAAAAGTAGAAGTTGAAAGTAATAAAATAAATTACAAGTATAAATTATACTTATGGACTTTGGAATGTTATTTTAACATGATTTAATTTTTTATTGCATGGCTTACTTTATAAGCAAAAACAAATGGACAAATTTTCCTGTAGTAATTGACATATTCCATAAATGTTATCGACAGAACCAAGAGCATTCCTTTAACTCAAGACTGAATCCCAAGCTTATTCTCAGTACCAGCTTCAAACTGAAGGCTAAAATCAGCCTTGCCCTTAACCCGTGCTTCATTCCTAACTAACCACAGCCACAATCTGAACCGGAACATAAAAAACACCTTCATAACCTTAGTTTGAACCTCAATTTTGACCTCTGTCTCAACCTGAACTATCACGTCACTGATTGTTGCTTGCTTATTATGCTGTTTACTATAGTATTTTTGTTAGCACAATCTGTCACTTTATTATACTGTCACAATACTGTGCTTTTCTATACTGTATACGTACCCGGTATATATACACTTTAAAAAAAAATGTTTTGAACTTTTATTCAACAAAGACATATTAAACATTTAAAAAATCTTAACATCCCAAACTCTTGAATGACACTTTATTTGAATTAGCTCTTGTGTGTTGTTTCATAGCATGTCAGTGTAGTTTGCAATTGTCTGTACTTCTGCTGTACTGCAGTCTGAGCCTTGTCACAAGCATTCAATGCCCAGTGAACCCTGTGTAAGCTGTGCAAATGACAAATAAAAATAAACTTCACTTCACTTCTCTCAGCCTCAAAACAAGCCTCAGCCTTAATTTAAACCTCAACCACAAATCCCTTGTAAAGGAACGTTCCGGGTTCATTACAAGTTAAGCTCTATGGACGGCAGCATGCTGTCAGTATCCACAGAAAATAATTTTGAATCATAATAATAATGTCTTATAATACTGTATATAAAAAATCATGACTATAGTAATAATACTTAATCTTGATTATAATTGCCTCAGTTTGCTAAAATAAAATAACAGTATAATGTTTACAGTATAATACACTCTCAGTGCAAGTTGATGGAGCAAGCACTGTCCTGGAATAAACGTTAAAGCTACTCAGTAAGTGGAATAAAACGCACAAGCTGAATCACTTTCATGATACTTTGTTCCTTTAATGTCCGTTTTAGGACGGAAAGTTCCTGTTTCTTGTAATTGCATCGAAAAGAGCAACTAGTACATTGTTTATAACTTCTCTTTTTGCATTCCACAGAAGAAAGTCTCACAGGCTTGGAACGACATGAGGGTGAGTAAATGATGAAATATCACTTTAACATTGTGCAGCACTGCCCTCTTGTGATTATTTGAGTTGACAGGCTCTCTGATAGCATAGTCATCCAGTTTGTTGTATGTTTTTGTGTGTGAGTTTAGTTATATTACTATAATCATGTGATTTCTGATGATCACTGATGCTACTGAAACACTGATGCTACATTTCCAAAATTAAACCCATCTTAACTTTGCAAAGTTTTGTGTGAGTGGAAGAGTCTAAACAGTGAACTTTCCCCAGGACCCCTTGCTTAGGTCCAAAAATCCTCCAGTCACTAAGACTTTGAACCACACTGAAAATCCCTCTCACTCCTCAGGTGGTTTATTCCCGTTGTGTGTGACCATGTGTATTTGTGTGCTCGTGTGTGTAAATGTGTTTTGGAGCCAGATGACAAAAGGAGAGTTTGAACATGGCATGAAACCGGAAAGGTCCACAAAGAGCGAGTGACAGAGAGATGGGGACAAAACCTTCTGGAGGAGAGAGGAGGGGCTGAGCCTTTGATCTGTCTGCTTTCTGAAAGAGGCGGAACAGAATCACAGGAGCAAGACGAAAAGAAAGCGAGAAAGAGAACGAGAGAGAGAGACAGTGAGGGAGATGGAGCGAAACAGGGAGAGAGACTGGAGCAGATTGTAATTCCTCTACTGGTGGAGCAGATTGGGGGGGGGGGGGGGGGGGGGTATTCAGGAGCAATAGAAGTGGCTGTAAGTGCTAGAGGAGGAGGGGGAAGGTCGGAAAGAGAGAGAACTGGGAAAGTGGAGGGACAAGGAAGAGGGTGGGAGAGAAAGGGGGAATCTGAGGAATTTCCAAATGAAAGGAGAAGGTTTTTCTTTTAATGCGATTAAAGTTTTCCATCTCACTGCATCTCCTGCAGACAGTTCGACTCTGGGAGCAACATCCCTCAAGAGTGTGACAGAGTTTGTGTGTGTTTCTATGCGTTTGACTCTGTGAACTTGGTGGCTTTGAATATAGCAAGTGTGGGTGGAGTTTGGAAAGTGTTTGTGAGTGAGCAAATATACCACAAAATTAATTTCAACTTGTCCCTCCTTTTCTAGGTTACAGTGAGGCACTTACAATGGAAGGGAATTGGGCCAACCTGTAAACGTTAAGGTACTCACTTTTTCAATAGTATTGGCACAAGAAGTAAACAATATATGTGTGGGAAAAAAATGCTTACTAAACCTTTCTGTAAGTTATATCCAATTGTACAACTTTGTTGCCATAACACCATAAAAACCCAACCTGACAGTATAAACAAATAATTTAAACTCTTTGTCAGTCAAATAATACTTTTA